TGAGATCTGTCTCATTTCCACTTCCTCTAGAAAGCTGTGACACAGACCCTCTCGGGCATCTGGAAGGCCCTGGGCTGCTTTAGAGAAAACATTTCTAGGCTATTCTCAATGACAGAAAGTAGAATTCTGAGCCTCTCCAGCACAGAGGAAATGAGGCAACGGCCACTGTGAGCGATAGAGCCTCTCGCCCCAGAGTGGTGGGTGAGGGTGTTTGTGAACAGACGGGCAGAGTGAGGTGCACATCAGCGGGTCGTGTGACCGGTATCCAGATTAAAAATAGGCTGCCGAGATGCGCGTGATACCAGAGGCCTGGACGGCGTGCCGGCCTCACTATGGGCCGAGGGCCTCCTGCTTTCTGCTGGCCCAACAGTACTCAGGGCAAGGAAACCAGTAGGACCATGCCCATCTAACTGGGGAGGAACCCAGGCACCGTGTGGTTAAAAATCAGAGGGCTAAGTTCATGCCAGAGTCCCAGCTCATGTGGAGGGCATTCAGGCCTCAAGGTTTCCTGAACACCTCTTCTCTGCCCAAGCCCTAGAACCCCCTGACTGCCAAGGCCTTCTAGCCTGCTGATCATTCCTAAGGCTTGCTAAGGGTCCTGCTTCCACACTCCCTGGCACCTGGATGGGGTTCCCGGACACTACGCTCAATGTCACTCCTCTGCTCAAAGCCTAGCAGCTCAGAATAAAGCCTCGAGTTCTTACAACTACCTGCTGAGTCCCACGTGGCCGTGCATGCAGTGGGGCCTTTGCATGCATACTCTCTGCTTGGGACACCCTGGCCTGTTATTGTCCCTCACTCCTTCGTCTCCCCTTATCCATGAAGCCCACTCTGATTGCCCTCTTGGAAATGGCCATGGAGTCCTCTGGCACTTCTATTTTTTTTTCTTTGAGAGGTTTTTGCTATAGGGCGCTTGCACTCACCAGAAAGTCAGAGAGAGACAGAAAGCGAGAAATCATCCCCCAGGGGCGATGGCCACACTTCAATCCCTTCTCCATTCTCCTCTCGGGATCTTGGGCACGCACACACACTCGCCTGGTATGAGTTTTAACCCATCGGGTTCAGGACTCAACCCACGGTCGACTACATGGGAGTCTAGCAACACAGCCATTATGCCAACTGCTGGTCCCTGGCACTCCTATTTTTTTTAAAGAGGTTTTTGCCACAGGGCACATATGCTCACCAGAGAGAGAGAGAGAGAGATAGTAAGAGGGAAAGTGAGAAATCACCCTTCAGTGGGGATGGCCACACCATAATCCCTTCTCCATTCTCTTCCTAGGGTCTTGGACACACACACACACACACACACACACCTGGTGTGATTTTTCCACTTGTGGTATCATGTCAGCACTCTCTAAGTTCCAAACTCCACATCCGGGACTCAAGCTGCAGTCAGCGGTGTGGGAATCCAGAGACATAATGCCATCTGCTGGCCCCCGTCTGGCACTTCTGACTCCCTACACCACTCTGGCCTTTCTTTTTCCAATAGCAGCTGTCACCTTCTAACATATATATGGACTTTACGTTCTGCGCCTTTTACCACCAACCTTAACTCCCTAGAATCCAAGCCCTGCAAGGCAATCTGTTCTGGCCACTCTGTGGGCCTAGCCTCAGCACAGGGCAGGCACTGAGTAGCTGATGGTGCTTTCATACATCAGCTTGCCTGGACGGAGTGCCCAGATTCAACATCACTGCTAGGTGCGTCTGCGAGGATATCTCCAAATGCAGTAGCATTTAAATCTATAGGTTCAGTGAGGTGGACTATCCTCCCAGATGTGGCACCTTTCAGTCCTTCGAAGGCTGGAAGAAAAAGAAGACGAAGAAGGAATTCATCCCTTTTTTCTTGCCTTGCTTCTTGAGTTGAGACATCTTCTCCTGCTCCCAGACTGAGATTTACTCCGTCAGCCCCCCCCTAGTTCTCAGGTCCTTAGACTGAATTACACCATTAGCTTCCCTGGGTCTCCAGCCTACAGATGCAGACAGTGGAACTTCTCAACCAATTCCTCATGAGATCTCTCTTATCTATATAACTGTGTGTGTGTATATATATGCATATTTTCTTCCTATCAGTTTGGTTTCTCTGGAGATCCCTGATGAAACAGTTATCAGTTGAATTAGTGAATGAACCCACCCACGTGAGCTCCTGCACTAGAACCCTGCCCAGTCTCCTTTGGAAACACAAATTGTGTCTCTTGTCTGTTGCTGGCGGACTTGGGCCTCACCTCCCTGTTCCTCCTTGCATTCTCTTCCACCTCCTGAAAACTCGCCCACTGTGGCTGTTCCCATTACCACAGAATTTGGTCCTCTCCATCTGACTTCTCCCGCCCCAGCCCAGAAGTAGGCTGTTCATCCTGTTCCAACCAGCCCTCCAGGCAGGCACAGGAAGGTCACTCTGGATGCTGGCAGTGGGCATGGGCTAGGTCTGTATAGACCCTGAGCTCCTCAGGGTCTGCTGCTCAGAGCTGGGAACCGTGGTGCTTGAGAATTGGCATATTGCAATCCCTCCACTCATTCTGAGGAGCAGTGAGGGTTTGCTGAAGTTATTTTAAGCATTACTCCACTCTCCTGGAAATGGGGGTGAGAACTGTACCCACTTTTCTGGTCGTGAAAGTGATGAAGCCTCACCTGGAACATAGCAGGTTCCAGTGCTCTTGGTGGGTATTTTTATTTGTTGCGGACTACTTAGGACTTTGAAGGCTGGTGGGATTGTAAATTACTGTGACCTTCCTGGAGAGCAGTTTGGCAATACAAATTAAGACCCTTTAAACATCGTATGTGATATTTTTTCCTTCTAGTAATCTGCCCTAAGGAGACAGAAACACAGAATTATGTAGAGATGCTCATCATGGCATTTTGGGGCAGCTGTTGAAAATGGCATTTTAATCAAATGTCTAAGAATTTGGGGAGATGTTGCATAGTAAATGATGCAAAAAGGTATAAGATTAAACATGCAGTGAGATCTGAAGCTTGTAAGATATATATAGGGAGAAAGGAAGTATGTGAAGGTCTCTGTATTGGGAGGGATCTCAGTGGCAATTCGGTTCTAGCCCCTCTCCTCATTTAAGCCAGCTCCTTCTCTTGGAGAGATTTTCTCTCTCTGCATATACACATGTACAGATGTGTATCTATGTATGGAATTATTTTTGAAAATTATTTACTTATTATCATTATTTTTCAGATTTGACCAAAGAGAGAGAGAGAGAGAGCCACCAGGTCTGGGACTCAAACTGTGGTCAGCCACATGGGAGTCCAGCACCTTTGACCATCACGCCACCTGCCGGCCCTGTGTATGTAATTCTTTAAAGAAGAAAATTATAAATTATGTACAGGTTATATATTCTTTGCCCAAAATGCTTGGGATCAGTTTCAGATTTGGGAGTTTTTTGAATTTTGGTATATTTTCATATGTATTTTGAGATACCATGGGGATGAGACTCAAGTCTGAACACAACATTCACGTATGTTTCATATACACTTTATACATCTGACCTGAAGGTAATTTTACACAATATTTCTGTACTGCAGCATTGACTGCAACCTATTGTGAGACCAGGTGTGGAATTGTCCACTTGTGGTATCATGTAAGCACTCTGTAAGTTCCAGACTTTGGAGCATTTTGGATTTTGGATTTTCAGATCAGGGATGCTCCGTCTAATCCCCACTCCCCCCCCCCCTTCTTTCTATTTGAACATATATATACACAAATGTGTATGTACAAACATATATAAATTTATTTCCCATACAAATGCTTTAAATTTGGGTTAGCTAAAAAGATGTAGGGTTCTTCTTTCTTCCCAAACAGGACTCATCTGTGGTTTTCCAGTTAGGGCTGGGAGGTCCCACGATTTTATGTTCTTTGCGGTATGGGTTTGTGTACCTAGCTTGGCTTTCTCTAGTCCTGGGCCCACTGGTATTTTGTGTGTATTTTGTCTTTTCTCTGCCTTCTGGTGTTCTCCCCTATTACCTTCCCCTCCCTTTTATCTCTGCTCTGTGAGGCGCCCCGTACCCCTGCCCAATCCCTGCCTGTCCTCCACCATCTCTTAAAGCTCTGGCCTGAGATACAAAGGAAGGCCCCCAGCTGGCTTGTGACCAGGGCCAGACCTTTCTTGGCAGCTTTTCAGGTGTGTGTTTCTGATTCACATCAATGTGCCAGTCAGTGCTTCTGATTCAGAGGGAAACTCTGGTCTGCAGAGTGACTTTGTCATGGGGGGCTCCTAGCCCATCTGCCCTTCTTCAAAGTCCCCTCTTCCGCCTGTCTGTCCCTGTGGTTAAACGCCTCTTTGTTGACGCTTCATGCCTTCACGTTCACAGCTTGCTGTTGTGTTGGCACGTGTGCCTGACCCTGACTACTTAATTTGCGTCTCACCCTGCCCCACTGTGGGCCCCAGAAACGTCTGGGTCTGGAGATGTTGGGGCTGCCTTCCTCCCCCATAGGCTTCCCTGTGGCATACAGGGCCCGTCTGCCAGGAAAGCCTTTAGCTGGGATAAAGAGGAGCTGCAGCGATGGAGGGGACCTGGGTGATGGGGTGTACCTTGTTATCAGGGGAGAAGAACCTTGAGTTTCCTACCTGGGGGTGCACTTCTTGCCTTACAGGGTCTCAGCCAAAAGAATGGGTGAGGCTCTTTCTTTGAACATCCCCTTCTGAGGGCTCAGAGCAGTCAGGGTGGGTAATAGTGAGTGTCAGAGTTGCTGTAAGGGCGTCCTGCCCTCTGGGGGCAGGGCTGATGGCCTCACAAGGTTCCTTGGAAACACAAGCCTTGTGGAGGAAGAGAATACTTCCCCATACTCTGTTCTGGACCAAGGGCCCTGCCTCCCATTAAAGAAGATGACAGAGCGTCCTGCCTGGGCTGGGCAGAAGTGCCATGCCCTGGGAGTAGACCTGGCTCCCTCTGATGGCTGCTCTTTGTAGCTGGAGAAAGTCACTTCGTCCCCCATACCGAGTCCACAGGCTTGCGTGTGCTCAGTAGTGACAGTGACACTTCTGTGCATCCCTCCACAGGGCATTGGTGGCCTTGGAGTGTCCATGCCTCTCCTCCCTGCTGCTGAGGGTGGTCCAGTGGCAGGCAGACCTGGGCCACACCAGCCCTCAGCCAGCATCCATCTGCCAGGAATCCTCAGCAGCTGCTCCGATCAACCCGAGAGAAGGTACTGGAAGAGATTGTGACTGTCTTCTGGTTGGTTCATGGGCAGCATCAGGGGCTCCCAGAAGTAGCCAGGCCCCACCCGCTCACCATGCTGCAGTGTAGACCAGCTCAGGAGTTCAGCTTTGGGCCCCGGGCCCTGAAGGACGCCCTGGTCTCCACCAACTCAACCCTGCAGCAGCTCTACGTTTCTGCCTTCTCCCCTGCCGAGAGGCTCTTCCTGTCTGAGGCCTATAACCCCCAGAGGACCCTTTTCTGCACACTGCTCATCCGCACAGCCTTTGACTGGCTCCTGAGCCACCCCGAGGCCCCCGAGGACTTCGAGACCTTCTACGCCTCCCTGCAGCACAGGAAGCAGAGCCTGGCCCGGAAGCACATTTACTTTCAGCCAATAGGTATGGGGGTCAGGGAGAGTGGGGGAGTGAGGGACTGGAGCCATCAGGACCTTTCTGGGAGACCAGACCTGTACACAGCTCTGTGCACAGGCCCCAGGCAGAGCCAACACAAGGGAAGATGACCTGGGCATGTCCAGGGTTTGGGCTGGGGGTCCTGGCTCTGCTCAGGCCGCCTCCCACCCACCTCTGATACTGTCCAGAGAGCCAGGGCCATGGGGCCATTCCACACATAGGTGCTGCCTTGTCTAGATGTGCACAGCTGGCTACACCTGTTGAAACCAGGACTGTCCCAGACGCTGTGCTGTGTGCTTTATAACAATCACTTCCCATGTGGGATGCTGAGATTTAGAATCAGGTGAGGAAACTGAGTCTAGGAAAGGTCACCTGACCTGCCCAAGTAACAGAGCCAATTATTGGTAGAGGCAGGATTTGAACACAGGCTGATTTAACCCTGAGGCTGGTCTCTTACCTCTGGTGCTGGGAGATGCTGGACTGGGCTATAGGAGGAACTCCAGTATGGTCACTGTATTCTGGGCTCTTTGTCTGACAGAAGTAGGGTAGACCAAGGGCCAAGACAACAGGTGCCTGTGTTTAGCCAGGTACTGGAAAGGGCAAAGGGCAGGGCTGGCCACTGGGCTTCTGTGTGCCAAGGTTAGGGCACCATGCCAGAGAAAGACCACTCAGGACATACGTGTCACTTGGCTTTGGAGAATTGAAAGGGGCCAGCACTGAGTGGCAAGACACTAGTGTATCACGCCATTCCCTCTAACTGACGTCTTGACAGCCAGAAGAAGGCTGGATTTTGGCTGACCTTGCCCTAAGCCGGCTGTTGCCAGCCCTGGCTGTCCACCTTGGCCCCATTCCTACCCCTTGGGACCAGCGTCCTGTAGGTATCTGTTGGTCTTGGACTGCACCACCCCACAGCCAACTGTCACCTATGCCTGTAGATCCTGCCTCCCGAGCAGCTTTGGAACCACCCATTTCTCATCACATCCTTGTGATGCTCAGAGCAGCACTTCTCGGTCTCTGATGTGCAGACACAGGCCTTTGGCTGAAAGGCAGGGTCCGGGTCAGGAGGCCTGGGGTGGGCCTAGCATCTGCAGTTCTAACCAGCTCCTGGCCTGGACACCCTGCACCCTCGCTGGTCTCCAGCCTTCACCCCTGGGCCAAGCCCATCTGAGCTAACGTACCACCTGGCTGTACCCCTCTTTCCAATGGCTCACCTTGTTTTGGCCCCCTTTGGCCTTTCCCTCTCCAACCAGGCTGTCTTTCTGCAGTCATGAAACCTGTGAAACCTGCTTGCTCCCTCGCTCCTTTCTGCCACCCCTCACCTGGTCCACTTCAATGCCTCAGGCCCCACCCCAGAAGTCTCTGACTCAGGTTATTTATTGGCTGCTAGGTGAGGCCCACCCACTTCCTCCCGAGCATTTATCTTTATTCTGTTTCTTCTCTTTTGCCCCTTTGGGAAAGTCATACCTGATGTCTCTTTTTTCTGTGAACTCTGAACTCTGTGCTGAATCTCGTCCACTCAGCAGGTCAGTGCTGAGGAGGTGGTCACAGGTGAGCAGAGCACACAGCAGGGCTGACAATGCTGCTCTACCCCCAGATCTGAGTGAGGGGCTGGTGGGAAGCTCCCTGCTGGACGACCTGCGCAGCTGCACGGAGGCCTTCTTCCTGGGCCTGCGGGTCAAGTGCCTGCCCTCGGTGGCGGCTGCATCCATCCACTGCTCCTCGCGCCCCATTCAGGACTCAGGCAGGCTCCAGCTCAACACAGGTGAGTGAGCATGGTGGGGCCCCAGGCCAGGGAAGGTCAGGCCCCCGTCACTTAGCTGGAGACCATCCCAGAAGGAAAAGGTGGGAGGAAGGAGCCCAGGAGAGGAAAGGAACCCTGTTTCTCAGCATTTTGGAAGGGGACACTGCCAGAAGAGTTCCTTTTCCCAGCTAGAAGAGTATCTGGACACTTGACCATACAGCTCAGCGTCCACTGGAAACTCTTGGAGCATGAGAGCAGGTGAAGCAAGCTTTTCTAGGTCACTCAGCATCTCTCCAGTCTTTGTGAAGCATTTCAGGTGTCTAGAAGACCCTTAAGACCCCTTCACCCTATCCCTGCAGCTAGAGAGGGGCCAGGTGAAGAGGTATAGACCAACTAGAAACTCTCAGGTGGGATAGAAGACCTAGGCTCAAATTTAGGGAGGTCCCCAAGAAAGAGATGGGACTCCTCTTTGTTTGGTTGATATTGGACCTGGAATAAGTAGATTGATACCTTTCATCAGCTCTGAAAACTTCTCAGTCATTGGGACCAGCAATTGGCATAATGGCTATCTCGTTGGACTCCTATGTAGTTGACCATGGTTTGAGTCCCGGACCAGGTGGCTTAAACTCACGCTGGGTACATGTGTGTGCGTGCCCAAGATCCTGAGAGGAGAATGGAGGAGAAGGGATTGCAGCATGGCCATCCCCCGGGTGATTTCTCACTTTCTGTCTCTCTGTCTTTCTGTCGAGTGTATGCGTCCTAGAGCAAAAACCTCTCAAAAAAAGAAGAAATTCTCAGTTACTGCTTTTTTTCTTCAAATACCTTGCCTTCCCCACTCCTTTCCTCTTCTCCTTATATTCCAATTGTGTGTGTGTGTGTACATATATATGTGTGTGTATATATATATATATATATATATATAATTAATCCATCTTATTCTCTTTGTATGTCTTTTTTCTGTATTTTTTCTTTCTTGACCATTCATGCTTTAGTCTGTTTATCTGCATCCTCCAATCAGCTAATTCTCTCTCTAGCTCCATGTAAAGTGCTCTTCTCAATTTATTGAATTCCTAATTTTATTGTGTCATCAGGAAAGTCATGATGCATTTTCACATAGAAAAATATTTCATGACTTTCCTGATGACTTAATAGTTTCTGATGGATTCTTTTTCAAATTAGCAGTGTCACTTTTTTTTTATAGCTCTCAGTTCCCTGCTAAAGTTTTTAAGGTCCACAAGCGTAGTTGCTTTCCAGTCTGTATCTGACGGTCTGCTTTATTCAGGGTGCCCTTGCAGCCATATTTGTTCTTTATGATAATTCTGCTCAGTTATCTTGTCTCGCTTTTTGCCTTGGTACTTTCTGATTAATTGGACATTTTATTTGAAAAAGTAATTTAACTTTTAGAATAACCTGTGGCCTGGGATATTTTTCTCCAGAGGGGATTTTCTTTTCTCTCTGACAGGCATCTAATTGCTGACTGTCTGGGACAGAGATGTGAGACCTTTCTAGACCAGCCTGATGACCCTTGAGTACAGTCTTCATCCTTCCCAGCCAGAGCTGGAACTGAATCAATAGGGCCACCCTGCCTGCTCCCCATCTCAGAAACACCTGTTACCTCTGAGTGCCACTTTTCCCCTGTTTCTGTTTTCTCACTGGGTCTCTAATTTACATAAAGTCATGTTTATTGAAGTCTAATTTAGACAGTAAAATTCTCTTTTAAGAGTACAGTTCTGTGCGAGACCAGCAGTTAGTGTAATGGCTATGTCACTGAACTCCCATGTAGCCGATTGCGTTTTGAGTCCCAGACCCGGTGGTTTAAACTCATGCTGGGAATGTGTGCATGTGTGCCCAAGATCTGAGAGGAGAATGGAGGAGAAGAGATTGCAGCGTGGTCATACTCCCTGGGGGGTGATTTCCCACTTTCTATCTCTCTGTCTCTCTCTTTCTGGCAAGCGCACGCACCCTATAGCAAAAACCTCTCCAAAAAATAATAATTATAATAATAAGAGTACAGTTCTGTGAGTCTTGACAAATGCATACATCACACATCCATCAACACAAACATATACAGAACTCACTGCCCTGACCCCACTCTCTGCCAAGGCTTCCTCAATGACCCTCTGTAGTCAATTCTGTGTTTTAAAAACTATTCTTTTTCCACTTAGCTTGTTTGGCTAACTTTTACAGAGAGAGAGAGAGAGAGAGAGAGAAGGAGAAAGCACCCTCCATGGGGTGAGGTCATGCTGTAATATCTTCTTCATTTCTTTACCCTGTTGACACTTGGGCAGGCCTGCACATCTTTTTCAAGCTGTGAGGGTTGGTGTTTGCATCACATGGTCAGCCATGTGGGGTCTGGCTGCCTTAACTACCAGACCACAGAGCTGGTCCCATGCATGGTGATTGAATGCACAACATGTGGCTGGTCTGAAATGAGATGTGCAGTAAATGCAAAATCTACACCAAATACAAAAACTTAATATGGGGAACCAGCAGTTAGCATAATGGCTATGTCGCTGGACTCCCACGTAGTCGACCGCGGTTCGCGTCCTAGACCCGGTGGCTTAAAACTCACGCCGGACGCGTGTGTGTGCGTGCCCAAGATCCTGAGAGGAGAATGGAGGAGAAGGGATTGCGGCGTGACCATCCCCCCTGGGAGGTGATTTCTCGCTTTCTGTCTCTATGTCTCTGTCTGTCTGGCGAGCGCACGCGCCCTATAGCAAAAAAAAATCTCTCCAAAAAAAAAAGATGATATTTTGGATATATTAGGTTAAATCAAATATTAAAATCACTTTAATCTGTTTTTTTTTTCATTTTAAAATTAGGAAACCTTAAAATGTAAATTACATGTGTGATCTATGCAATGCTTTTATTGGACAACAATGTTCTGTTTTTTTTTTTTTTTTTAAGAGAGATTTTTGCTATAGGGCACATGCACTTGCTGGAGAGAGAGACAGAAAGCAAGAAATCATCTCCCCAGGGGGTGACTGCCACACCATAATCCCTTCTTTGCGCCATTCTCCTCTCTGGAATTTGGGCATGTGCGCACGTGTGCCTAGTGTGAGTTTCAAGCCACTGGGTCCAGGACTCAAATCTCAGTCAGCCATGTACGAGTCCAACGCCTTAACCACGCTATGCCACCTGCTGGCCCAGTGTGTTACACTTTATTACTGACAACTGTATCGTCTGTAATCTGGATTTTAAATATCTAACACTTTCTCCAATGTCTGCAGCTCAGTCTTTTTGGTCCTCCAACTCTAACAATTCTCTGAGCTATCAGGAACCTTACTGGTCCTACCCCCGCCTCACTGTTCCTTATTTGCCTCTTGTCCTCACTTGTCATCTCTCCAGGCTTTGATTTCAGTCCATCATCACAGTCCTGAAGTGTATCCGCCTCTCCCTTCACACTCTGCACTTAGTTAACTCCAGCTCTCTCCCTCCCCGGTCAGTGGCCTTCTCTTAGAACCCCACGGGGGCCCTCAGTGGTGCCCACAGTCACTGGCCCTTCCCGCCTTCTCTCTGCTCGCCTTCTCTCTATTCCAACTACCTGCTTCTCTTCCCTCTTCTTTTCTGGTTCTGTTTGCTGAAGAAATACAACCAAAGGAGAAACTCTGCACCTTCCTTCTACCAGGCTCCCTACCAGCCCACACCTGTGCTCCTAGTTGGCCTCCCCTCTGATTTTAAGGGTGGATGCCCGGCTTCTGATAATGACCATGAGGATCTGCATCTTCCCACCTGCCATTGTCCCTTCCCCCAGCCTGCTGACGAACCCTATTCCAACAAGCTCCGCTTTCTCCTGCAGCAGATGTGAATGTGCTGTCATACCTCTTGTCTTAAAAAGCCTTTCTCTCTCTTACTTTTTATAGCGAAAGTCTCTAGAAAATGTTTTTTCCTACTGGCTGTCTCTACTTCTTCACCTCTGCCTCTCTCTATCGTCATGGTATTTTTTTTTTTTTTGAGAGGTTTCTGCTATAGGGCGTGTGCACTCGCCAGAAAGACAGAGAGAGACAGAGAGACAGAAAGCAAGAAATCACCTCCCAGGGGAGATGGCCACGCCACAATCCCTTCTCCTCCATTCTCCTCTCGGGATCCTGGGCACGCATGGACACGCGCCCGGCGTAAGTTTAAGTCACCAGGTCTGGGAGTTGAACCATGGTAGACTACATGGGAGTCCAGCGACATAGCCATTACGCCAACTGCTGGTCCCTCTATCATCACTCTAAGACCCTCTCAGCTCTGCAGTTTTGGTTTTGATGTGCATCTTGTCCTCTTACATGCACTCCTGAGCCGGATCAGTTCCCTCTTGCTGCTTGGATGAGTTAGGGCAACCTTGGGTGACACACAACAATTACCTTGCAGTTCTGGGGTCACAAGTCTCAGGGGCTGTGGTCAAGCTGTCGGCAGTGCCATATTCCTCTGAGAGGCTCTGGAGAGTGTGCTTCCTGCCCCTTCTAGCTTCTGGAGGTGCCCACACTCCTTGGCCATGGTCCTTCCTCCCTCCTTATCACTTTCTCTGGCCCTGACCCTCCTGTCTCTCTTACAAGGACCCTTGGATTATGTTGAGACCACCTGCATAACAAAATATTCTGCCATCTTAAGAGCCTTATTTTACTTACAGCTGCAAAGTCCCTTTTGCCAGGTCCCTTTCACCACATTCTCAGGGCTGGGACACCTCAGGGTCACTGTTCAGCTGCTGGGGCAGCTCCTCCCACTCTAGGGCTGTGAAGGAACTTCCACTGACAGCTCTTGCTGGCCTTCCTAGCATCCCTCCTTCATGCTGATGGGCATCTCAGACCTGCCATGTCTAGATCAGCTCTCCCGATGGTTGACTGACTCTGTGGCTGGTGCCTTCACAGCAGACTTCACTCTGCTGTGCGGCTTGGTGGCTTTGAGTTCTCAGCCTCAGACCAGGCATCGCTAGTGTCTGACTTTGGAAAGAGCTGGTTCCTGGTGGATTTTACCTGCCCTGAGCCCGGGGCCCCCACTGCTTCCTGACTCTGTGTCCCCTCTGGCCCTCTCCCCCTCAGATGGCATCCTGTCCTTCTTGAAGAACAATAAGCCAGGGGATGCACTGTGTGTGCTGGGCCTCACGCTGTCTGACCTGTACCCCCACGAGGCCTGGAGCTTCACCTTTGGCAAGTTCCTTCCAGGGCATGGTGAGCCAGGGACCCGGCAGTTTCCTGCCTGGGAGGGAAGGCTGGTGTGGCCTGCATGGCCCCCCATGGGTGAAGGACATTGTGCACATCCCCTCGGTGCTCTCGTCCCAAGTACCTCCTCTTCCAAGGTAATGGCTGTATCTGGAAACAGCCACCTTTCAACTTTCAGCTCCTCTTGGGCAAGAGGCTGCTCCCTACCCTGGCCTCTACCCTACGTTGGCCTTCACATCAATAGATGGCAGGGCTGGGCCTTCCTGGACTGGTGTGTCCTCAGGCTTTTCGTCCTGAAACTGAAGGTCTCCTGAGCCTCCTTCTCTGCTTTTCTCCAGAAGTAGGCATCTGCAGCTTTGCCCGGTTCTCAGGAGAATTCCTGCAATTGGGGCCTAGTGGCCCCGATCCAGCCCTGATAGAGGCGGCAGCAGATGTTCCTGAGACCCCCCTGCAGGACAGAGGCCAGGCCCTGTGCTTCAGCGCCCTGGGGATGGTTCAGTGCTGCAAGGTAAGCATGAGGCCAGGGGTGGAGAGGTGGGGCACAGGAAGAGGGAGGGCTGGGAGACATGCAGAAGACGTGAGTGGGCTGTGTCCTATAAGTCTGCCTAGTTAAACTGTCTGATTTTTGCAAGAAGATCCTTGGGATCTTCGGAGTGAGGAAACCAAGGCTCAGGATTAATGCCAAGGTTTTGTCCAAGGCCACACAGCAGTGAAACAGCAAGCCTGGGATTTGAACCTTGTGTCCTGCTCCTAAGCCCCAGTGTTCTGCGACTTCCTCAGAGCTGACTATGCCTGCTCACTTTTCTCCTTGGGGTCCCAGAGTGGGCCTCAGAGGTGCCATGTGCAGTCTGAGGCCAGGCCCCAAGAGGTGGCTGGACTATTTCCTGGCAATCAGGAGGTGTCAGTCTTCTGGAGGGGTCCTGAGGCTCCTAGGGCTGCATCTAGGCCCTTCTGGGATTGCTCAGAAATCTGGGGATCTGTCAGGTAGATTGTCAAGGTTGCAAAGGCAGTGGGGATCTTCCCTTCCAGGTCACATGCCATGAGCTTTGCCACCTCCTCGGCCTGGGGAACTGCCGCTGGCTCCGCTGCCTCATGCAGGGGGCACTCAGTGTGGACGAGGCCCTGCGGCGGCCGCTGGACCTGTGTCCCATCTGTCTGCGGAAGCTGCAGCACGTCCTGGGATTCAAGCTCCTTGAGAGGTACAAGGTGAGTGCGCTCTGCTGCTGGTAGACAAGAGCTTGTGGAGCGACGGCAGGAGACTGGAGACTGCATAGAGGCCAGGGACACGGGCGCTCCTTCCTGTAAGCTGCCAGTCCTGTGTAGTGCTAGTCCCAGAAGGATCAAAGAACCTTGTTAGTGTTGACCTCCTCCAGGAACTCCCAGATTACTGCTGTCTGTGACCTGTAGGTTGCACGGGGTGGAGGGACAAAGGGAACCTGTATCTTTCCGTTCTCAGTCAGTACAGGAGTTGGTATTTACTAAGTCGTTAGGAGCCAATCCACTCAGCTGGTAGCTTCTCACAAAGGGCCTTCCTGGCGTGGTAGCCTCCTCCATCTCCCAGAGTAGCACTTTCTTTCTTCTTTCCCTGCTGTTTTCTGGGACACGTGAATCACTGACGCCCAGAGGAAGTGCAGGCCTCAGTGGGAGGCCTTTATCCAGGCAGGCTGCTCATACTTCACCCTGCGGCAGGAGCCCGCGTGGGGCTGCTGCCCTCTGCTGTCGGCCTGAGCCACAGCCCTAGTTCCTGTGGGAAGATTGTGAACTCAGAAACTTGACTGAGTTCAAAGACAAGCGGTGTTTACTTTTCCTGAAACCCACCTCTGGATGCAGACAAGTTAAAAGTTTTTATTCCAATGAAGGCATAAGACCTATAGACCACATAGCTCTGGCTTAATGAATTTTTTAAAGTTTATTTTAGTCATGACTAAAGTTTATTTAGTCCCTCTCTCATGTGCGCAAGAGAGGCGGAAGGACTCCCAACAGGGTCTTGCTGCGATCTCTTTTCCCTAGGCCTCCAGGTGGTCAGGATCCTGGGCCCATGTGCACCTGCCTGGCCTGTGTATAGGCCAGATGCAAACCCACAGCTTTGTAGCCACCAGCACTGCAGTTCATTCATGCTGGCTGTGACCCGTATGTTTATAACTGTGTCACCAGGCTGGTCAGCTCTAGAGTAAATTTTAATTAACTTTTTTTTTTCTGCCATGAAGCCAGCAGGTAGTGTGATGGTTGAGGTGCCAGATCCAATGTGGCCAGTCGCGATTTTAGTCCCAGACCTGGCGGCTTGCTTTTTCATTTTCCCTTTCTCTTCTCTCTCTGGTGAGCGCATGTGCTCTCTAGCAAATTTTAAAAAATAATAATAAAAGAAATTTTTTTTTTTTTTTTTTGCCAAATCATATGCACTCACAGGAGAGATGGGGGTGGGGGTAAATGAGAAAGTACCCTCCCCACAGGGCATGGTCACACTGCAATCCCATTCCTCCATTTCTTCCTCTTTCTGGGATTTTGGACATACATGCACATGTACCTAGTGTGTTTCTCAAGCTCTTGGGTCTGGGACTCAAACCAGGAGGTCCTCTGAGGCTGGGCAGCAAAGTAGTCCACGCTCAAGGCACGGGCAAAATAGGGAAGTGGTTCTTAGAATAGACTCGTGACAGTCCCCCGGATGGCTGGCTCAGTACTTTGGCATCTCTGGGGTGCTGTGAGAATTTGCATTTCAAGCAGGCTCCCAGGGGATGCTGATAGCTCCCGGTCTGCTCACCTCACTTTGCCATCTCCAGATCACACTGCTGCCCCCACGTGTCTCATCTCTGAATGACTCTGACAGTAAATAGTAAGAGAGCTTAGAGGAAACAGCTCCCCCAGTTGGAAGGCCCCGATGGGCAGGTTACTTAGGTGGAAACCTCCATGCAGTCTGGCTGAGAGTAGGAGCAGGTGGCTCACTGGCCCATGTACAGATGAGATAGCAGTGGTCCCCCAGGAGGTGCAGTGACACCTGGTGGCACACTGAGTGGGCTGGCCACCATGACCATTTATAACAAGGGCTTGGGTGACCCTCATGAGGACGGCTCTGGTCTGCAGGACTGAGACTTCTCACTGGGATCTTGTTCGACTCTTTGACATGAACTTGTAAAACTTCTATTCCACTCCTTAGACAACCACCCCCACCTCTGACCAGGAGTGTGCCTCCCCCCCTCCTAACCTGGCTTAACCCACACCTTCCTCCTCAGTGAGCATCAGCCATGTGATGTGGAAGGCACTCTGGAGAAGAGGACTAGGAAGAGGGGCCTCTGCCCAGCTGAGGGAGGAAGGGAGCAATGCAGGTGTAGGATCTGCCCCCAAGGGTCCTGGGTTCAGCTCCAGAGGACTCTGGTGGGTGCCAGAGAGATAATTGAGGGCCTGGTCAGAAAAGGCCTCTGCTGTCTATTGGGAACAGTCAGTGGTATACTGGTCAAAAGCCCTCTCAAAGAAAAAGCCCTGGTCTGTAGTATCTGCCAACTTCCATGGTGTAAATTCTCTGATCATGGTCAATTTCAAGTCTCCAACACAACATTCAACAGAGTTGGGAAGTATGGCAACATGTGGCCATGTGGCACATCCATGAAATGTAGTAGGAAGAATGTAAGAAGCGGTGAGTCAAAACTACTAACTTTGCCTTAGACGTTTTCAGTTTAATGATAAGCTTTTTATATTTTAACTCTGAATAACAGGTGGGTGACCATCTAGCTGGCACAGTTCCTTAAAGGCAAATGGGCTCTTTTGGGCTGTCACACCCAGGTTCAGCACAGCCCAGACTCTAGTCCTTAGAAGCTGCTGCTCAGAAGAGCCTTCACACCAGTAGCCAGACATTGGCCTGGGTAGTGATGCTGCAGGACCTGGGTGTGTGTGTGTGTGGGGTCTCTTAGGTAAGGAGCTGTGTCTCCGGGCATCTCTCTGGCTGAACAAGTGCTGAAAAGAGAGAACTCAGCCTGTGTTTCTCCCTCTCAGAAACTCCACGCCTGGACCCGGGCAGTGGCAGGGACATGGCCAAGCCAGGAGGTAGGCGAGCCGTCTGTCTCAGAAGACACCCTGCCCTTCAGTGCCGACTCGGGCTTGTGCTGTGAGAGTGATTCCGAGCCTGTCACCAGCGTGTCAGAACCCCTCACTCCTGATACATCGGGCCACGCCTTCTCTGCAGAGCCAGAGCTGGAGCCAGAGGATGGGCTGAGCTCCCTGGCAGCCTCAGAAGCTCCGTTGCAGGTTGGGGGCCCAGCTGAGGCCATCAGGAAGCAGGAACAGTGGCTGGCCACATGCATCCAGGCCCTGGAGAGGGAAGTGGCCGAGGAGGAGCTGGCCCAGGTAGACAGAGCTGTGGATGCACTTGGACGGTGGGAGATGTTCACAGGGCAGCTCCCAGCCCCGAGGCAGGACCTGCCCTGTGGTAGGGACAGTGCAGGGCTACGCAAGGTCCTGGGGGACAAGTTCTCCTCCCTAAGGAGGAAGCTGAGTGCCCGCAAACTCTCCAAAGCTGAGTCTTCCCCGTGTCGCTGGAAGGAAGAAGAGAATTAGCACGACAAGGACCATCGTTCAGTGAAGAAGTCAGGGGCCCAGCGTCTGTCTCTTCCTGGGACTCAATTGACGATTGCTGTCCAGTGACAAAGGGCACTGTGGACCCATATGGGACTAAAAGGAAAGGTCCTCTTGAGAGGCTGAGGAAGAGGTGTCTTCAGATGGCTGTACACATGTCCCACCTGCTTGCTCCAAAGCACAGCCTGGCGACAGGGCCAGCAGGTTTCCACGGCAAACACGGTGGCCTGCATCCTGGGAGAAACATTCTTCTGCTCCCCACACTTCCCTGGGCACAATCTGGACTTGGCTGTGGGTGGGATGAAGCCTCCTCACGCCCCAGGGGCAGAAGGAAGCAGTAGGCTTACTTCTTCTAGGCCGGGGGAATGCACCTGATGGGTCCCTCAGTCATTTCAGTGGAGCTTGAGAGCCATCCTGGCAGCTCAGATGGGAGTGTCCTAGGCTTGTGGGCTCTGCTACTGTAACCTCGGCTTTCAAGGCTGACACAGGGTCTCCACTCAAAGGGAAGTCATGGGGTTTTGTTTCTATCTAAAGTGTCAACCACACAACATACCATGGGTCTCTTTCTGTGGCTCTAATGGCTTTCTGGTCCTTGGGAACTTCGCACGCATTTTTGCGAAAGTTCTGGAGAACATGCCATTTCTATTGATAATTGCCACAGAAAAGGAGGGTCTAATTTGCAGATTTAAGGCCCTCTTCATTCTGAAATTGCCTCCTGTTGTAACCTGCAGTGAAGACAAACTGCAGGGACATTCTTGGGACAGTTTCCTAACAGGCAGCTGTGCTGTTACTATGAAAAGTTAGGCCAAGGTGGTAGTAGTGTTGTTCAGATCAGCTGTATCTTTCTGATTTTTGGGGGAGGGGGTGTCTAGTTCTATCCATTGCTAGGAAGGGGTATTAAAATATCCATCTGTGGCTGTGGAATTGTCTATGCTTCCCTTTAATTTTGTCAAATTTTACTTCATCTGTTCTGAAGTTCTTTTATGTCCACACACATCTGATTGGTACACCTTCCTGCTAAACTGACACTTTTATCATTATCAAATGTCCCAATCAACCTGCAACATCGGATTCCAAGGACAGTTCTGGTTCTGACAGCAGAATCCTTGTGGAGTGACGGGGATGGGGACACAGCTCTCTTTTGCCCATCTGGAAGCAAGCAAGCAAGCCCAGGGAAGCTCGTATGTCTTGTGTGTGGGTAGGTTAGACTCTAAACTTAGGGGCCTTCTAAGTAAAACTGTCAAAAATACAGATAAAAAATTAACAGGAGGCCATGTAGGTGAGAAGTGCTGAAGCTTCCTTATGGATCTCACACTGAGGAAGCCAAATAGCTGGGTGTCATCCCAGAAAAATGCAGAGGGATAAGCACACAATGAATTCAGAGAAGCAAAGACATCATTCAAAAATAGCATCATCATCTTCTTCCATCTCCTGTTCTGTTTTGCATAGCTTCATCCAGAAGGTAACTGATGGAGAGAGCAGGAAAAGCTCAGGGAAAACACCTGCAGAGCGTGAAATAGTAACAGAAGACGAAGATCAAGGCCAGAGTCTGCTGATGCAAGCTCTGCCTTGTGGCTTGACTGCAGGGGCTGTCTCTAGGACGGTTTGCTCATGTGGCTGAGTGGCTGTTGGCTGGGAGTTCAGCCAGGACGTCAGCCTCAGTCCTGTCCACGTGGGGCCTAGTTTCCTTACACTATGGTGCCTGCCCTCCTTAGGTGGGCATTCTGGGAAAGAGACAGAAGCTTTGTGGCCTTTTGTGATTGACTTCAGAAGTCATAGAGCATCACTTCCAACTTACTCTATTGAGGCCATCACAAATACCAGTCCAAGTTCATGGGAAGGGACAGATTCATCTCTGAATAGGGACGTAGCCAGGTTCTGAAAGAACATGTGAGAGGGAGAATACCATGGAGGGTTTATGGAAAATCTAGCTTCTGTGAGGTTTGCTTCTTAGATGATGCTGTCACACCCGCTACACAATTTTACCTGCTTTTCAGTTGCCTTCTGTCTTCTGTGAAAGGTGAATGACTATGGTGATGTCATGAGAATAAGCAGAAATGATAAAAACAGGCTAGCCTGCCTGGCTTAGGCTGAAGGCTCCTTCATGCAAGAGTGGTAACAACTAAACCTGTATCATCTATCTGGGCCCAGGTCCTTTGGCTCTCAACTGTGATGAGTATCCCAGAAGAACATTTTGAAGTGGGATGAAGCAAACTGCTAAAACTAGAACTTTATCAGTTGTAGATGGGAGCGACATTTAAAAAAAATTATTCATTGTCATTATTTTACTATTATTATTATTTTTTGAAGTTGGCCAGAGAGAGAGAGACAGAAGGAGAGAAGGAAAGTGAGAAAGCAAGCTGCCAGGTCCAGGACTCAAACCATGGTCAGCCATGTGGGAGTCCAGCTGCCTTAACCACCACACCATCTTCCGTCCCAGGGAGTGACATTTTTAAAGAATGCTGCTAGAGAGAATGTTTTGAAGATAAAACTTTTGGGAACATTTAGGATTCCTTCCTCTGCTCAACATTAGCCCCAGGCTCTGTCCATAATGGTGGTGAAGAGAACTTTGGGATGGTCACCATGAGAAAACAGCTGAGATGGAGAAGGAGATATGGAGGTCATCTCTGTTAAAGCCACAGATCACAAATCTTTCTAAAGCCTGAGATAGGACGTGGTCGAGCACCATACAAGAGCTGAACTGAGATATTTAGAGATAATGGTTTCCAGGAAACAAGGGACTAATTTTTTTTTTTTCTAATTAGGAAAATGTACAAAGTTGACTTAATTGCATTCTCATCTGCTTACCTGTCAGATGTCTCTGAGATGCATAAGGATCAGTCTTCTAGTCTGTCATGGCCTCTCTTCAGAGAACCTCACACATTTCAGGAGATCAGATGGAGCTAACAATAGTTAGGGTCATACAATACATATGTTGTCCGTATTGCCGTTAATGTATGAGATGGGGCTGGGATGACTAACAACATGTGCTTCTAGAATGGTCTAAACACAGATAGACAGACACACACACATGCACCCCTCACCTAAACCGTGCTCTGATCAAGGGGGCAGTGAACAGTGTCCCTACCAAGAGGAGCACATTCCTCTTCAGGCAGCCCTGAGGCCCAAAGCCAGCACTGAAGAGCATGAGAAGACTTGTTCCTACTGCCCACGACATCAGCCCTGATGCAACAGGAAAGTCAGTTTAACCCCCACCTCCACCCCCTTCCCAGAGTCTAGTCAGGAAGGAGGGGTACTATCCTGTTAACACTGTCCTGTGGGACATCTGACTCAGGCCTTTCTGTGATGAAAGAAATCTCCAAAGGACTTAAAAATAAACATGCAATGGCTTAGTCAAGCAGCTAATAGTAAAGTTGAGTCCTTATTTAGCTCCCACCAAGTTCAAAGGGGATGCTAGAACATTGCAGGAACACACTCACATATAGAAGGTCCACGTACAGTGGCAAGAGGAGCCACTCTACAGACCGAATGGGAAGGGACAGGCAGGCCTTAGAGGGAGGAACTGGCTTCCAAAGCCAGATCTGCAGGGAAAGACAGGCTAATCTTTTCTTGTAATCAAATTCCACCTCTTAATGAGTCCCTTCTAAGTACCAAGACAATTTTTATATCTGTCATTCTCAAGTCTCAAAACCACAGTGTGCAGCAAATGCCATTATCCTCACTTTATGGCTGTGGCAGCTGACACGCAGGCAGGCTTGGAGACTTGCCTGAGAAGTGGGGGAGCTGCAGTTCAGACGGGTTGCTCTGATTTGAGGCCCCTGTGCTATGGGCTTTCTTGGGAAAGCAAATTGAATGCGTCTGTACTGGGAGGAGGGTGGGAAAGGAGGAACAAGGATTAGGGAGGCCTACACCCTAACTCTGGGCAGCCCCTTGCCCAGCTCCCGCCCTTGGTTTCTAAGGTTACCAAGAAGCCTTTTGGTGCTGCTGCACTTCCAGGCTCTCAGAAGAACTAGCTGCCTGGGTGGGTGGCCGGCTCTCTCAGGTGAATATGCCAATAAAAACAAAACTCCAAGCTGCTGGGGCTTCACTGATTTGTTTGTATAAAAAGGGCGAGTCCCCAACAGAAATATTTTTATCCTAGGGAAGATGAAGGGAAGTGAGGAGGCTGAGAGCCCTGACCTGCAGCCTGCCTGCGTGTGCTGTGAGCCAACAAGCCCAGGTTTGTTGCTGCTCTGCACAGCCACGGAAAGGGCAGGGCAGGAGGGGGCTTGCAGAGGCCTGGCCACCCTCCTCAGAGAGCAGCTTGGCCGTAATCCGAGGGAGGGCGTCTGGCGCCCTCCCTGCAGGCTGCTCCAGAACTAGTAGTAGGAGGTGGGGGGCAGAGAAGCAGAGCAAAGTCTTTAGTCAAGCCAGATTAGTTTTGATCCCTGTGGGGGCAACTGCACACATAGAGAAACCCAGTTTCAAGGAAATACAAGGAAATAGCAAATTTATGGCCCTTAGAGTAACAGGCTGTCAAAGATAAACACTGCAGCGTAATCTAGGAAATACCTCCTACTTCATGGTAAAGAACCACGGCTTTTGAGAGCTGTTGAAATCAATGCAAATAACTGGTGGAAATGGCTAGCAAGGTCTCTCCTTTTCCAGTATTATACAGCATCACCTTGATTAATGAGAACCTAAAATAACTGAGGGTTATTTTTGAACTCAGCTTCTTGGTAAAGAGGCAAATGAAAACAAGCTATGTCAGGGGTTTATTTTAAAAAGCAACTTCCAAGAAATGTCCTGGGGTCACTATGTGTTCCGTTCATGCCTCACCCTTCTTGTATTCTGAATGATGACCCGAGGCAACCCGAAATATCCATCAATAAGTCAATCAAATACCTCAGCCTCTGTTTCCTGAGGCTAAGGGTGTACAACAGCCAGGCCGGTCTGATCTTGTACCCTCTCTGAAATGACCCTAAGCTCTCAACAAGTTAACCAGAAATTAAATCAAACAGGTTCCAGGAATGAGATTACCCAGAAGGCCCATTACAGGGACATTTTAATGAACACACTTTTGTTGAACAGCAACTGGGCCAGGCTGGCATTTCTGGGCCAACCTGGCATCGCTGGGCCAACCTCTCTTCTGGCAGTCTGGCCACACTGGCTCCTTGGCCCCAGTTCCAAGCTCTTGGGCACTCTGGGCCCTCTCTGCCTGCTTTTCTCTTGGGGAGGGAGTCCTTCCCTCCACTCTGAACTTGGTTTTCTGGCTAGGGCACAGCTTACACCTCACTTCGCAGCATGTCCTCTCCTTGGTCCCACTGATATTCTAAGGACCCCTCCTGTTTCTTTATGTCATCTCCCGGTCTACAAGGCTGTTTAACGGGCTTCTCTTGCTAGTCTGTGATAGTGGATGGAAAGGCCGATCTAGTTTAGAATGGTCAGGGATGCTGCATTTGAATTCCAGCTCTTACCTTAGATAGGTGTTGGAAGAAACAGTAAAAAGTAAACTGCCTTGGGACCAGCAGTTAGCGTAATGGCTATGTCGATGGACTCCCACGTAGTCGACCGTGGTCCGAGTCCCGGACCCGGTGGCTTAAACTCATACCGGGTGTGTGTGTGCGCATGACCAAGATCCTGAGAGGAGAATGGAGGAGAAGGGATTGCGGCGTGGCCATCTCCCCTGTGTGTGTGTGGGGGGTGATTTCTCGCTTTCTATCTCTCTGTCTCTCTCTCTCTCTGTCTGGCGAGCGCACGTGCCCTATAGCAAAAATCTCTCTCAAAAAAAAAAAAAAAAAGGAGAAGTGAACTGCCTTTCCTTACCAAAAGGCTCCCTGAGGGAGACTAGCTAGCTTCTGACTGGATCAGGTGCTGTCTGAGGATCCTCTGCGGTCTTTGGTCTCTGACTTCCTTGTTAGTTTCCACTGTTTTTCTTCTGTGATGAGGACACAGCTCCCTTAGAGCCTTCAGGGAGAAGTCCAGCCTTGCCTGACAGGACTCTGGCCCTCATTTCCTTGGAGAAGGAGGAATCAGAGAGAAAGTC